CACTAGGCTATAATCTAAATACAATCAGACAACACAACATTTCTGAATGTTTTTTAGAGTCCATAATGTTTATAATGTGTTCTATTATGACATATGTAAATTTTTACTTTTGTGTTTTTCTATAGTGTCTTAAATACTCTGCTTATAATTACATTACAGTGTAATATAAAAAAAAATCTAGTTTTTTAAAAAAAATTATGACATGTATAATATGTATACATACTATATAGGGAAACTTACACTTCATCTTATGCAGAATTTATTTTTACTTATTCTTAATTATTTATGCTACTTTACTTCTACTCCATTACATTTAAGAGAACAATATTGTACAGTTTACTCCAATACATTTATTTGACAGCTATATTTAGTGATTACTTTATAATGTAAAATTCATTATATCACTTTATAAACCATTCTTCATTTTTTTAGATTAAATTTCCTAACACTGTATATTGTAAATCAGGTCTACCTCCACCAGTTGAAGAACGAAAATTCTAGGGTAAGCAACTTTTAATTTGTCAATAATAACTATTTGATATATAATATATAATAAAATAAACCCATAAGCAGACCATTTTGCGTAATGTGTAAATAATGTGTTTAAGTAGATTTTCCAACCAATACTAATGCACTTTTACATAAAGATTCCTTCCACTATGAATTTTGCTTAATGTTACCTAACTTGGATGTTTGGCCTTCAAAATACAGAATGATATATGTGCAGAGTTTAACACTAGATGGTTGTTTTCACAGTCTTCTGATGAAAGGGTAAAATTTCTCTGTGCTCACCTTAGATCTGAGTTTTAAGATGGCAAATCATTTAGAAGGTACATTTGGTGGGACATTTTCAATTTGAACAAGTGTGATGAAAACTCTCAAAGCCTCCAACAGATCACATACATTGATAATGTTCTTTATGGTGACAACAGAGACTTCTTGTGTCCAACACTTTTAAAATAAAAAGAAAAAAACCCTGCATATTCATATATTATGGATAGAGTACTCTAAGATTTTTTTCAACTTGGTATTTGAACTGTCTTTGGGGAAACCACACTGACACAAATGATTATTGCAAGCAGGTTACTTTTTTGTATTAAACCTGGAGGTGATCGTTACAATTTTAAATGCAAGACTTTTATTTATGCCATAGTTAGTAGAGTATTTTAACTAATATTAAGCTACTAAGTAGAGGATGGGAGTGATTTTTTTCCCCCACTGCAACATCTTATAATATACAACTGTTTCAGTTTATAGTCTTTATTATTATTGTTGTTGTTGGTTTTGCTACAAATATTTAAATTGAAACGAGTCATTTACCACCTCGTGGCGATGGCTGAAGACACTACAAATAGTGTACGAAGCTTATCATCGTGGCAAACACTGGCAACTTGCAGGAATGTCAAATGGCAAACATATTTTGCTTTGGTTACATTATTTGTGCCTACTGCATAATTCCATATGTGTTATTTCACAGTTTTTGTATCTTCAGTGTTGATCTACAACGTAGAGGATCATAAAATCAAAGAGAATGAGGGCGATCAATGTTTATCGGGGAGTATGTGATTGTTTCAAAGTCTCGTGATAACATTGGTTAGGCGTGCGAATGACGCAGTTTGGTGTCTGGGGAGGGAGGGGAGCAGAGAAGCAGTGTAGGAAAAGAGGAGGAAGCAGTGAGGATGGCGGAGGCACACCTCTGAAGGTAAAACAGTTATATTATGACATTAACAGTGGAGGGTTTACTCCCACAGCACGGTAACGCATCGCTCCAGAAGTGATACACTCTTCAGTCACTTGTTACGGTGTGTGTAACGCTAACGTGTCATTATGCGGTGGCGAGAACGAACGCACTCTTTTGTTCAGCTTCAGAATGGCCGCTGTTTTTTCAGTGTTTTCTTTATTGCTCGGCTAATATTCAGTACAAGAACGGCGCCTAGATTTCGTGTTACAGGTCGTCCATACTTCGTCTGCATTTCAGTGGCCGCTCTGCTAGGATATCGACATCCTCCATCGTCTGTTCTCTTCGTGTCTGCTGTGCGTTTGCGCTCAGCTGGCTGCAGCAGAGGTTTCCTCTGTCGGTCGAATTGAAGGCTGAGGGGTCGGTCCGCGTCCGACAGCCGCTCTGCTCGGGCCTACACACACGGTTAGCTGTGCTTGAGCAAGGCTAAACGCTCAATGTAGGTTAAGTAAATATGTCAGCGAGATCCTTCGCACCCTTTGCGCCGTTTGATACGTATAACAGTAGCCATTTGTTTTAATGACGTTACTTCGTCCTGACCGTGATGTAACTCTTCCTTTTTTGAGTCATAGAATGGCTCGCTAAAATACAGTTAGCTAGCTGATGGGCTAGTCAACTTGCTCGCTGGCTGACGTTAGCAATCTGGCATACCTGACGTTTGCCTGGCTGTTGACGTTTAGCTTAGCTATATGCGTTTATTTCCTGCCTTGTTGTCAGTCGTTTGAGCAGGATTAGCCAGTGTGGTGTTCTCTTTTTGAACATTGGTCGCTAGAGAAAAACATAATTTTCTCCCAGTTTCAAGGCTGGCTTAGCTAACACTAGACTTGTTCAGCCTACGCGAGTTACGTGAGACTAACGACCTATAAGCTTGTTTATTTTAAGTTAACACAACGTATGGTATTGTCACACCAGTCACTTTAAAGCCGTATCAGACATTTGGCGTTTTCCTTGGGTGTTCTTATTATGTAGTTAATTTAGTTTATCTGGAAATGCGATATGATTGCACGACCTGGTACCGTTTTGTCAGTAATCAGTTATTAAGGATTCGAGCTAGCCATCAAGCTAGCTGCGTCCTGTGGCGTTCTGTATAGCAGTTAGCAGATACTGATCTGGTAGCTCACCTATGTTTTGCACAGTGTTACACGGATAATGATCTAAATTGACAGGCCATACTGTTCCTTATTTGTTATTTATTGTACTTGTGTAGTAGCCTACCGTAAAGCAACCACACCACAGAAGCTAAGTGTTAGGTATTACTTGATCTGAATTTGTGGTGTATCACAGTACATTACTACAGTGATCGTGAGCATTATTGTACTTTCAGATTACCGCATTCCTTATTTGATCCAAAATACATTGCAATGGATACATAAAAGCTTGAACATTGGAGGTTCTGCCTATGACTACAGTAAATGCTTTGGCATTTTCAGATGGGCCCAAGATATCCATAATGGAAACTTCATTAGTCTCTATGTGGGTTGCAAGTGTCATGCAGTCCCAGTGTTGTAGCACTTTGTGGTGGTGTTACAGTTGATGGGCATGCATTAGATTTCCTGAGAAGCTGTATATGAGTTGAGCCTCTTATTTACAGTCACAAGAAAAAGTAATGGCAATGTTCGCAATTTCCTAGTTTTCTATATAAATTGGTTATGAAATGTGATCTAATCTTCACCAAATATCAACAAACACAATATTTCTAACCTGATAAAACATAAACAGTCATGATCTTTCATTACACATATAAAGTGATGGTGATATAAGTAATGGCAACACCAGGCTTCTGATGTCACTAAACATCAACTGGAGTCAGGTGTTAGCAAACCTGGAGTCCAAGCAATGAAACGAGAATGGAAGTGTGGTTTAGAACTCAGCTTAGAAATATTGTTTGTTGATATTTGTGACTTTGGTGAATCTCAGATCACATTTCATGGTCAGTTTATGCAGAAAACCAGGAAATTGCAAATTGTGCCATTACGTTTTCTTGGGACTGTACATCTTTTGGATAAGTAATTCTTAATGGAGCTCACAAAATGCTATGCACATCAGTCACTTGTTGTCGATTTAATGTTATCCTGTTGTGGCTATCCAGTAGTGGTGTGATGAGATTTCATGCCATGCCAGATGCTGTTTCTGGTGAAAGCTGTCTCGCGATATCAGTACATAGCAGAATTAGAGCAGCAGCCGGCATGGAAGAGTGTGAGGGTGAAATTGGCATAGAAGATGCCCCCACCACTTTTCATGTTCAGTTTGTGAAAAGGAGTTTGATTAGATGGTCACACATGACTGTTTCCCATACATTTATTTATTTGAGGTGGTCCGTCACAATATCAATATTGACCGTCACATTTAAAATAGGTTAAACCTTATTTCAGTGTAGTGCCTTGCATAGCCGATGTATTCACGCAGTCCCTCGGTGCCCCGCTGTATTTCTCTTTCTCACACACACAAACACAAGATGATCGACTGTCTGAACAGCTCTTCCTCCCTGTGTATGTTTTTTTTAACACACTCTCAGTCATGGAGTTCCAACTCTTCTGTTGAGTTATTAGCAAGCTGGTAAGGCTAGCTAAGCTAACGTTAGAATACAGCTGTTGTCGAGGTCAGCACATGGTATATAGTATGGACTGTTCTGCAAGTGGATAAATGTAATGCTAGTTCATAAACTCTTGACAGTGAACATTTGCCCCCTCAGTCCAAGGTTTACATGTGGGAAAGCTGATCAGTGTGATTAGTGATCCATTTGACTTGTTTGAAATATTTATTGGTTTCAACCAGTGCTGCTGAAGCAGCAAGAGAGGGTCAGGAACAGAGAGATGAAGAGAGAGGTGTAGGAGGAGGGCAGCAGCCAACATGCTGCTGCTGTGGGAGAGCTAGTGTGGAAGGGACAGGTCAGTTGAACAACACTATAGCATTACTATATTTAATTAAAAAATATTATGAAAGTGTGACCCACCCCCACTCCCTGAACTACTGCCACAATTAGAATGCAATTCTATGGGAAACTGCAGGTTCAATTAGATGTTCTAAGCTCATGCATAGTTCATGCACAGTTATAAGGTCTGAAGAAACTCATGTGAAATCATACAGGAGAGAAGCCAGCCAGTTGAGTTGGTGGCAAAACCTTTTACAGTGCCTGCATATTATCTTTTACTGCATATGATAATTCATACTCGGAAAGTAGAACTGAAGTGACAGTCATTGCAAGATGATTTGTTAAAACATTTCAAAATGTGCCCAGCATTTTTAATTTTTTTTGTATTTTGTGACTTTCAGTTGAATAAAACATTTTTTTCTGGTCATACATTTCAGCATTGAAGATTTTTTAAAAATAGTTAAAAAATATCTCATCTTATTCTTGTGAACCTAATATTGTGTTATTGTCTAATCTCGTGAGCTAAGTGTATTGTCACACCCTTACTATCCGGTCGTTACAGTCACATAAAACAAGAGGGCACTTTCCCGACTTTGTCAGGGATGGAAAGGTGACAGAGTTTCCCAAGGCACTTTTTTATGTGGTGTTCTAACATAGCTATTACCCATTATGACCTGGTCAAACAAAACCACAGTTCTTGAATTAACTACTATGCTTTTTATCTATGCCAAAAATGTTGGTATTTATATGCAAGTTTAAAATGATATTATGCAGAATTTAACTAGGAAAGTAATTTTCTCAGTTGGATGTTAAACTTTTCTTATGGTTTTCATTAAGTCTTTTAAGAGGTTTTAGAATAAATACAGGGATAAATATATACAGGTAAGTTGTGTGCAGTTTGTTATAAACAGAATGGTGTACCAGGACAGGGTCATAGAAATAACAGCCCTAAAAGGAAGTTGCTTGCACAGTTTGGTTTAGATAGTCCCAGCAAATGGACTGCCCTGGCTATTGTCATTAGCTTGTACGCAGATATGCCTATTAAAGCCCGTATTCGATGTTCACGTCCTTGTTTATAACAGGCAGAAAGAGGAAGGAATCTGTTGTTATTTACAGAACACATTGTCAGACATTCTATCATGTAAGGTGTGATGATATTGACCCAACATTTCTTTCACCCAAAAGGTCATATAACCTGTTGTTGTGGGGACTTCATACTTTGAAGGCCACATCTAAAGATTACTCTCAGCAGTCCTAACCTTTACACTTAGCTCTGATCCTGAGACAAACCTGCCTCTCTTTTTACCACGGCTTAGCTTGTGCTAGTGCTAGAGAGCTTCACACAGTTAGAGGTACAACAGCAACAGAGACTAAACAGACTGTCGTTAGAGACGTTCTGACTCATTTTGTCATGTAAAGATCCAAAGGGTTGTGTGTTTTGTCTGGATGTCATTGAGATGTAAATATTCAGTGTGATTGTTGGATTATGGACTGTTATAGAGAATGGCTAAATAGCTGAACGTATCTTTAGGTGGGGCTTTAGGCTTGAAATAATGTCAACACCTGCTGGGCCATGTTTGTTTTGTAGGAGTAAAATGGTGTGAGGTTATGCTTAGTGCATTCAACAGATATGCTTGAACTAGTACAACACACCAAACCAGTTGAAGTGTTTTTCTGTCAGCATAACAAGACTCCCTTTTTATTGTATTTGTTTATTTTTACAGCATTGTGCAACTTGTATTGCAGCAGCTCCTCCTCATAACAAATTTAATTTAATTACACATAATGGTAGTAGTTCCCATAGTATCCTGTAGTATTATGCATAATATCTGTTGAAAGAGGTGTGTCAGTGTGAGTTTGTTTTTGCTGAAGGCTTGGATAGGCTCTTTTTCAGGCTGTCTTTCCAGCATGAAAAGGTTTTCAGCTAACATGTTCTTTAGAAGTGGTTCACCTGTAAAATGTTGCTGAAATAGTCATGAAACAAGGCAATTACCAACTGTGCATCTCCTCTCATCAGCATTTAAAAATTGGGAAATTTTTGAAAAATATGCCACGATGCGATCTTCAGCTAGTGTTCAACACCAGGAAGAGACTTAAGACCGACACACTATAAAAATGTATTGTAAAAAAAAAACATCATTAAAGTTTTTGTTTGTTTGTTTGTTTTTCTAAGTGTGCAGTTAAGGGCAATTAAGTCTTAATATGGCTGGCATTGGAGGCAAAAATGAAAATTAAAACAAACAATTCACTCCTTTTTTGGAATTAATGTCATTATTTACTAGGGGTGTAACAGTCTATCGGTCTGGTTCGATACATTGATCAAGCACCCCGTGATTTGATGACATCAGTGCAAAGCGTAACTATCTGTTTTGTGAGCTCCAGAACAGAGGAGCTCAATACATTTTTAAGATTATGCCTGTTACATTTTAATTGATAAAAATATAGTTGTGTGAAATAGGCAGATAATATTGATCACAGGCCCCTGAATTGAATCTAAGTCGCATCGTGGCATATTTTTAAGTATTGGCGAACATTGGATTGCTGGCCAACAGAATTGATATAGGATTGTTAATATAGTTTGTATTTAAAATAATTGGGCAATTTATCAGTGTTTATTTGAGGGAATCTGTTGCTATATAATCAGCTCCTCAGTGAAAGCCTTTCTATAATTAGTTTTATTCCTTGCGTTTTTTTTGGAACAGATTGGTTTGTTTCTCTCTGTGGAAAAGGGCAGAAAACAAGAACAAGCCTCTGGAATATATTATTGTTAATAAATTTTATTCTTGTTGAGTTTTTTTTTTTCAAGAATATGCAAAATAATGTGAATATCTAAACTATGACTTCTTTCCTCTCTACAGCTAATCTTCGAGGGATTAAAAAAAAAATCAATCAGTGACTTTTTCAGCCTGAAAGAATTTCTATCCAAAAGTCCTCAGATTGTGCTCAGTTCAGACACTGAAGCGTGTGGCCACTGGATGCCATGATCCAGCTACTTCAAAGGATTTTTCCTCCTATGGCATTTTAAGAAAGGAACAAAGTATCAAACGTATCCAAATAAACCTCTGGATCACAAGGCCTTTATTTCAAGGATAGTCATAAATGTGTGGGCCTGCACAGGGATGTTTTCTCTAGAAGCCTCCGTGGCTGTCTGTGTCCCCTTTTTCCTCAAATAAATAACCCGACAAAAGACACTCCCATGAGCAACTCTGCAGCAGGCACGATAACGTCGACATGAGTAGTACTTTAGGCAAAGAAAAAGATTCGAAAGAAAAGGACCCCAAAGGTGGTCCAGTGGGGAAAGAAAGGGAAAAGGAGGCCAAGGCTCTGGCCAGCTTAGTCAAAGATGGTGGCAAAGAATCGAAGACCAAAGGGAAAGATGCCAAAGAAGGAAAGAAAGACACCAGCAGCTCAACACCGGGTGTTGCCTTCTCTGTTGACAATACAATAAAGCGGCCAAACCCGGCACCAGGTACCCGCAAGAAGTCCAGCAATGCTGAGGTGATCAAAGAACTTAACAAGTGCCGGGAGGAGAACTCAATGAGACTGGATTTATCTAAACGGTCAATTCACATGCTGCCCACTTCCATTAAGGAACTGACACAGCTGGCTGAACTCTACTTATACAGCAACAAACTGCAGAGTCTGCCGGCTGAGGTGGGTTGCCTCTCAAGCCTGGTCACTTTGGCCCTGAGCGAGAACTCCCTGACCAGTTTGCCCGACTCCCTGGACTCCCTTAAGAAGCTTCGAATGCTTGATCTCCGGCACAACAAGCTGAGAGAAATACCGGCTGTTGTCTACCGGCTGACATCTCTGACCACGCTGTACCTGCGCTTCAACCGCATAACAACGGTGGAAAAAGACATCCGAAACCTCTCCAAGCTCACTATGCTTAGCATTCGGGAGAACAAGATTAAACAGCTGCCTGCAGAGATAGGTGAGTAAAACCGGTCTGCGAAGACCAGACAAATTCTTTGGTAGTGCAAGAAGCAAACTGCATAGTGTAATTTACCTTGTAGTTTGCTTGCCCCAAACAGTAAGGGTCACTGAGTACACACTCTTCTTTAGCTCCAGCACTACTGTATATTTTGCTGTTTGAAATCACTTACAAATTATTCAGTGTTGAAATGATGAATCCAGATGGCCATAGTATCTTGTGCTATATGAGTGTTCTGGCTGTAAAGCTTGGTACTTTGTTCTAAGCTCTGCACCAGTGCCACAAGACAGATTTGGCATTTTCTACTTAGAATTGTGATTCTGTGAGGTGGGAGTGAGAAAAAGGAGTTGTTGTCTTTAGTGGGACTGGGGATGGAATACTGAAAGGACGTGAAACTTGAAATAACTAAGTATCTGAATTTTATGTGCATCTTTCTGCAGGGGAGCTATGCAACCTCATTACTCTGGATGTTGCCCATAACCAGTTGGAACACCTACCGAAGGAGATTGGAAATTGCACACAGATAACCAACCTCGACTTGCAGCACAATGAGCTCTTGGACCTCCCAGAGACTATAGGTTATTCAAGTATTTTTTTTAGGACTATTTAATGTTTTATTTTGTGGCAACTAGATTTAATAATTGTCATAAAAATACTTAACAATTCATTTTTGTTGTTGTCTCAGGCAATCTGGCAAGCATAAATCGCTTAGGTCTGCGATACAATAGATTGTCAGCCATACCAAGATCATTAGCCAGATGTCGAGAACTAGAGGAGCTAAACCTTGAAAACAACAACATTTCAGTGTTGCCAGAGGTAAGTGGATGTAAAAACGAAATATCATTTCTGATATAACTGCTGAACAATAATAAATTGTGAAAATAATTGTATTAATTTCCCACATTTTCTGATTCCTGCAGTGCTCTTGAAAGTGCAGCAACAAATTGACAAAAATAAATAAATACATTTACATAGGTGCTATGGGCCATCTGTTCCTGTGCTCTAAAATACAAAACAAGAATACTTAAATACCTGTTGTTTTCTATACATATAACTTATTCACGTACATTCCTGTATATGGCTGAAGGTCACTAATACACGGTTTCTATCATGTTTCTGGTTGACCAGGGCCTGCTGTCAAGTTTGGTGAACCTGACAAGTCTAACACTGGCAAGGAACTGCTTCCAGTCATACCCTGTGGGTGGACCGTCCCAGTTCTCCACCATCTACTCTCTCAACATGGAGCACAACCGCATCAACAAGATTCCCTTTGGTATCTTCTCGAGGGCGAAAGTGTTAAGCAAGCTTAACATGAAGGTATGTTAATGTGCATGTTTGTTTGTGAAATGAGATTAATTCTTATGTCAACTGTTTTAAAGACAGTTTAAAAATGATAATGAATTATTGTCTTTTTAATGCTGTCTGCTTTATACTTTTTGTTTTTCTTATTTATTATGATTGTTTTGTTATGGCATTATATTAACGGCAAGAATTTTTTGCTCATGGTTGTACAGAGCTGCGTGAACCAGTGTTAATTTTGTCAATGAAACCTTTGATGAAAAATATTTGGTGACCTACTGTATTTGCCATGACAAAATCAAGTTTAAAACTAAATAAAAAGTAAGATTCAGTAATGAGATCTGTGATACAATATTTTACAATATCTAAATGATAACTTGGAAGGCAGATGAATGGAAATTAAGTTTTGAACATTACAATTGAACATTAAAAATGCAGAATAAACGTATTTAGTTTTCATTGACAAAAGCTGCCAAAAAAAATCCAAAGTCTAAAGTTTGACTAAAACTAAAACTTGACAAAAGACTCGGATTAAAGCTAAATCAGTTTAAGGTGCCAGAATTATCACTGGTCTGAACAGCACTTCTGTTGAAGTTTACCGAGGCATTAAAAAGCCCTTACTTGTTACTTGGTGTATTCCACACTGGATTTAAATCTCCACTGGAAAATATTTTATCCTGGTACCAGGTAACATGATTAGCATAGTCCACTGCTCTGCTCAGCCTCTTGGACAGCCCTGTCCTTGTGTTGACCTTGTGAGTTGTGTGTAATATTGCTAATAAAGGTATGGCATTGTTTTCCCCAGGACAACCAGTTAACGTCTCTGCCGTTAGACTTCGGCACATGGACTAGCATGGTCGAGCTTAACCTGGCCACCAATCAGTTGACTAAGATCCCAGAGGATGTCTGTGGTCTAGTCTCTTTAGAGGTGAGTCTTGCATATGCACTGTTACACTAGTAGGAGTTGAGCTTGCCAGTGCAGTGTCCACTGAGTTTGGTGAAGCAGCAGAAAGTATCAATGCATAAACTGTATATTTTGTGCAACTTGTGATCAGTAATAGAAGTGATGGAGAACACTTAAACACAGGAAAGCAAGGTGTATGTCTGCACATTACAGCCCATGTCTTTTGAGTGAATCTTTGAGGCTAGTGGCTATTGTAAACCATTGACTGTACTGTATATGAAAATAAACCCACGGTGATGTCACTCGTTGGTTTTCTGAAGAGTGATTTTGATGCTCATCTGGCTGTCGCCATCTTGGTATTGCTTCACTCTGCTTACTTCAGCTAATCAAAAAATGGCCAAAGAAGTGTAGCGTGAGTGGAGCTTGATAGACAACTAGCAGCCAGCCACCTATGGTGGGACCTTCTCACTTGTCACTCAAAGCGGACATGCCCTTAATTATGCATAACCTTTGGTCTCATAATTTAAATGGGCGAGTTATAAAAGAAATTCACCCCACTGACCTATTGGTGACCCAAGTTGTGTTTTAATATAGGGCTCTGCATATATGGCAACAGCACAGTGGCTGGAACATACCTGGGATTACTAAAATTTTCATGGTTTCACTTGAGTCAAAACTTTTAAGTACTTTGACCATGGCTTATCTGACATAATTGGAAAAAAGATGTGATCATTCAGTGAATGTTTTATTGCACTGAACAAAAAGATCATGTTGTCATGATGCCAAAGTGTCTCTTCAAATCTGTTCTGTATTTGTAAAGAACATCTTTGTTTCACAGGTGTTGATATTATCCAATAATCTTCTCAAGAAGCTACCACATGGTATTGGGAATTTGAGAAAGCTACGGGAGCTTGACTTGGAGGAAAACAAGTTGGAATCTCTACCTAATGAAATTGCTTATCTTAAAGATTTACAAGTAAGTTTTCTAGTTCTTTCCATTATATTTGAGGTTATATGTTATTGATTTTTAAAGAATTTTGTCATATCTGCTTTGTGTCTGTCACCGTAGGGAACAACTGTTTTCAAGAGTTAGTAGGACACATTTCATACTGTTTCTTTATTTTTCACTGCCTGACCTTAGCTGCCTCTTTTTTTAACTTGTGAACATATTTGATAAAGTTCTATATTCAACTCATGGCTTTATGCTGAGAGACCTATATGTGTACTTGGAAAAATTCTGATTTTGGTGACTTCCAGCAGTAGTATCATAAAAGACACTGCAGCAGATGCAATGAATGCCTCTAGTTCTGCTGTAAATTAAGGTGGATCATTACGGTCACTATATTTTGTCTTATTTTCTCATTCCAATAGCATATCAATTATTGGAACGAGACACTAATGGGATCCCCAAATTACAAAGTAGAATCATATTTGTATTATAATCTAAACACCTAACCCTCAACTAAAAAAATTATGTATTTTTATTATACAAAGGAAGGAATTGGTAAATATCCAGTACTGTGTAAACAAATCATCATGAATTGGTTCCTGTCTTTCTGAATTGTTTTTATGCAACACTTAGAATTTCTTTAATATGTAAATAAGTTGGGATTTTTTATTACTGATTAACAAGTCCTTCCAAAAATGTTCTGCACTGTCACTCTTTCATTAGAAATTGGTGCTGACAAATAATCAGCTGACTACATTACCCAGAGGCATTGGCCACCTCACCAACTTGACACATCTGGGTTTGGGGGAGAACCTGCTCCAGCATCTTCCTGAGGAGATTGGTAAGCACGTTCCTCATACCCACAAATACCCTCTTCTACTTAGATCAGTAACATTTTCAGGTATTCTGCTGAGGGTTGAAAAAGTGTTGCTTTACCAGTGTTGGGTAAACTACTTTGAAAATGTAGCTTTGCAAACTATCAGTTACTTCACACTGGAAAAAGTTAAACTACAGCAAAGCTATTCTAGAGAGAAATGTATTTTGTAGTGCTGTCATCAATTAAAATATTTAATCAAGATGATTGTTTATAGTTAACTTGCAATTAATTGTCCAGTTTCCTCCGCTTATCTGGGACCGGGTCGCGGGGGCAGCAGTCTAAGCAAAGATGCCCAGACTTCCCTCTCTCCAGACACTTCCTCCAGCTCCTCCGGGGGAATGC